GATGAAAACCAAAAACAGATCAAAGAAGGTGGTCCTATAGTCAGGATCATCATGTTGAATACCTTGCTGGACAGCATGCAGTTTTCGGCAACTAGTCACGCAAAATCATCTAAAATCATCTAAAATCTATATAAGAGGTGGGAAAAGGAAGCAAACCGGCTCGAACGGCTCAACGTCGGGGGTCAGTTCCCCTTAGCACTTCCGCGCCGTCCGTCCGTCGGTGGAAGAAGACGGTAGCACCGGCCAGACCTGTTGGGTCGATGCACCGGACAGGCTTGGCACCCCGTCATGAAGGAACAATTTTGCTGAATCACGCCCATGAAATACCTAGATCTTCGTAATTATGAGGCATTGATTTTTCGTCCACCAGGTGGATCTAGGTTTAACCCATGAATTTATTTCTTTATGTTTTTGTTGGTCGAAGCATCTGAGAAAGACGCCCGGTTTGTAGAAGGGAGGCAAGTCGCATTAATCATTGAACCTATAGATGGTGTACGATGGCGTTATTTTCCCCTCCCTTGACGAATCCAGGGGTCTTGTACAAGCAGGAACTTCGGGCCTATTTCGGCATCGGATGATTCCTCAGGACACCAATCCATACTTCTTGGCCTTCAGCGCCGGCTTCATTGCACTCCACTCGGTACCGATACCCCTTGCGCTCGCACGCGCTCCCAATGTCGGACGAATGCACGGTCGGGCAGATGATTTAGACCCAGACATGACCCTGTTTTGATAGGAAAGACAACAGATTTGGGGTTGTGGGTGGTGTAAAGAAGAGGTCACTCAGGGTCTAGGTCATAGTAGATGACCGACCGTCATGCAGTGGATTATAAAATTACTGTAATGTAATGAGTTGATCATTTGCATGGAACCTCAACCAATGGCAAGGGTAGGGAATGAAGCCGCAGATCCCGTGGTAATCCTTCCCTGATGGCCTACTAAGTAATCACTTGCCATGGGGTGATGGTGAGTGTTTGTCAATTGTTTTCCTAGGCTTAACAGCTGTGCTTCACAGCGCTTCACTACTGTGCTCAATTTTTCGCGGTTCTGAGTTGGGACACCAGAACTGATCCCTACATGCAGACATGCAGGAGATAAGTTTTGACGTTTTCTCAATGTAATCACGGGTTGACAATAGCTATAGGTTTACAATGTTTTATAGTTGTTCTAATTGTTTGAGAGATGACGAGAGCGACATGTGGATTCTGGGTTTTGCCCACATTACAGAAACTACCTCAACTTTGTTCAAATGTATTTTGGTCACCCATATTTCTTGGATGTCATTGTATTTTACGTGCATTTCATTTCTACGGTTGTTTGCAAAACCCAAATCCAGCTAACCAACCGTCAACTGTCTCGCATGGGTTCCACAGTCAGCTAGCTGTTGCTTGACACTCGCAGCTTTGGCTTGACCATGCTTTGAAGATGATGATCTCTCCCTTGCTGGTTTCCCTAAAGGGGCTCTGCGTTGGGAGTCAACGTTGCTCCAAAAGAAGCACCACAGCAATCTTTGCTCCCCAACAAGACTGATGGATGACTGACATGTACTTTGTTTGTTTCAGGATATTTGAACAAATCAGCTGATCGAACTTTTCATTTGAACTTGTCCCACCTTTGATTGTGACAGATGCCAGTCTGCAGTCACGCTGGTCTAGCCTTTGACGAGATTTGCACTTGCTAAACCTTCTTAAGTTGTTATCATTTTCATGTGTGTCTCTTCCCATGGCTTTGGGGACTTTTAGTCTAAAGACACCAAGGTTCTTGTTTCTTGAGATCAAGTCCACCAAGAATTTCAGCTTATGCTCCATATGCTCCATCCAATGAACATGTTTTAGCCCAATGGGAAAGCGTGGGGCTTCTCGTCCCTGGACCCAAGTCCGCCGCGGCAAGCTGCGAGGGGAGGGTTGGAACGCGTTTCCAAAAAGCCTAGCTGGCTGAGTTTGTGTGTGGCGTTCCTTTTTTTTCCTTCCCCAGAGCCCCAGAGCTTCATCTTCACAACAAACAACTGCTTTCATTGGGCAGATCATAGCAGGTACAGCTACCTTTTGGAGCAAACATTGAAGTTGGACACCATGTTCGGACACTTCTTGAAGTTATTAAACCCACAGAATCACAGGTTTTTTCTTGACGATCTGTTGCTCATGGCCTCGTGATCGGAAGGGAGCGGTGTCAGGTCATAGGGAGTCCAGTGGATGTTCCAAATGGTCTGACCAGGCGATCTGAAGGGTATTTCATAACATGTCACACATAATTTAGTAATCTATGTATAAGTACACTTTTGGTGATATAGTCTTTGAACTTCTAGCTAGGGAATGTGTCTTTGGTGTCGCAGAGACTGCTGCTGAGGCAAGTCCGGCAGCAAGTCCAGGGGCAAGAGCAAAGGCGGCGGCAAAGGCCAAGGGCCAAGAACCAATGATTTGAAAAAGAAACAACTTTATATTATGCTTCCCTACAGTCGCGCTCCAGCAGCCCGCTGGCAGCATCAAGGATGGCTCAGCTATGTGAAAGGCCCATTGAGGATGGCTCGGCTCGGCCCCACCAGAGTTCGTTGAGCAATGCCGTTGAGTGCGTTCAGGTGCCAAGAGTGTGAAGAAAGGGAAGCTAAAGGCAGATCCAGGTCCGGTTAGATCGAGCTTCTCAGAGTGACTGCCGCCCCAAGTGCGTGCTTCTGTGTAGGACCGTGGAACTAGGTTTGCAGCAAAAGGATGAAGGGTAGAGGCAAACACACAAATGGTAGAGTTATGAAGTCGTACTACCTGCGCCGTATTTTTTTGATTGGTCATAACATGTGGAAGACACATGTAGAACCATCCTTTTCTGCAGTTTTGGTCCTGTTAAGTGTCAGTCGTATCTTGTCAGTCCTCTCCTTCGGCGAGATGGACTTTCGGTGACTTCGGCCAGGTGGGAAAGCTGGAGGGAAAGGAAAGAAAGCCGAGCGTTTGGGGAGCCCAAGCTGCCAAACCCCCTCTGGTCGTGGTTTCGCGCGATATGCCCGGCTTAGCCGGCCGGCGGCTTGCAGTTGTGGCGGATGCCTGATGTTGGTCACCCAGGGGTCAAAGAAGGAATTCGACAAGGGAAAGACGGGAAAGGCTCAACGGTGGGGGCTCATCGGACTCAGCGGCTTCTCGCTCTGCTTCTGCTAGGCTTTTGCCGGGCTTAAACAGCTTAACTTAAATAGCTCGCCTAAACTGCACCAGCTCTGTTCTCGCTGTTTCACTGTTCTCGCTGGGTGTTTCCCAAGGAGCCGAACTTCTCGTCCAGCTGCTTCGGTCAGATCGTCCAACTGCTTCGGTCTCCAAAGCCTCCCAAAAGGTCGAGAAGTGTGGCCGGGACTGGGGACGTGTCGCTCATGTCTCGTTCACTGAGGTTCCCAAGGAAGAGGCGGCAAAGGCGGCAAAGGTGGTGGGAAGAAGGCGGGTTTGGGCATTTACATGCAACGGGCAAGTTGGATGCAGACATTTGGGGAATTTCCCCCAAGAAGCGCAGGTGAATCGGATTCAGGTGAATTGGATGAGCACCAGGTTTCAGCCGGTGAAATCTTTACGAAGATAGGCGAACCTTTCCAATCTTTTGTAGTGGAGGATGGACGTGGGGTAAGGTATTTCTAGTTCAGGTTACTGTTCAGGTTATATGCGTTGCTGACTCGTGATTCATAATAAGTTGCTAGAGCCTTCAAATGCTGATTCAGAACGATCAAGATAGTTGTTTCACAACCATGATATGAAGGTGTTGAGTGTGTAGGGAAGGAAACTTGTTTCACTCGCTAGAACCCAACAACAAGTATTCTGCAGTTGACAAAACATTTCGCGATGAAGAGGAATTGAAACTTGGAAATCAGGATGTTGATTGATTGAAAACAACCAATTAAACATCTATTTCTTTTTACAGGCTGCTCACTGCTATAGGCGTTTGTGCCCGATTTTGTCAGCAAAAGGGATTTGTCCCATGACAGATAGATGCAAATATCAAAATTCCAAATACACCGCTGCATTCACTATCCTTGCTCCCAAGGTTTCAGATGGAAAAACGGTTGTCTCTTGGGAAGTGTGTCGGGCACGAACGCTCCAATTCCCGGTGCAGGATCCGAAGAAAGGCCGCCCGTCGGGTTGGCCATCAGAATGGCCATGCTGTGCCGGCATGGCCGTCTTTCAACTGTGGTGGGTCAGAATGACCTACCAGAATGGTCAACTGTATGACCTATACCAGATGACCTATACCAGACTTCCTCCACCTACCAGACTGTCCGTGACGCGCCATTTTCGCCACGTCCGGACCTGGCAGACGGATGGTGGTCGATGTCTAGCGCAGTGGTTTACTGGGTATTTGAAGCATTCCGTTTTGTTTCAGAGTCACAGATTACTTTTAAACAAACATATATAATAATGATCTATGTTTTTGTTGATGAAACGGTCCTCTTGCGTGACCAGAAGTTCGAGAGATGGGCCTGAACAGGGTTGGAGATGTTGAAACATACTGATCTGAACCCTCCATGACCACCTCCAAGAGCCACCAGCACTGGTCAGTCTCATGGCACTGTTGTTGATAAAAGAACTGTTACATGAGCTATGGTTTGGAAGTAGGCATTGCCCCCGGCATGGACTATGCATTTGGCCAAGTCCTGCGATGTTCGGTCTTTATTTCTGCGCCGCAGTCAAATCTTCACGACAAACTGCGGGACTTGCAAATGTCCTTTTAAGAAGAGGACAGCAGCATAGTCTTGCCAATCTCGCCTCAGAGAACACTACAGGCATAAAACTGCCTCAGAAGATGAGAAGGGTACTGTATCCACTCGAGTGCCAGAGGGACACAGTGCTTGTGTAAAAGATGCAGCTGAAAGCATCAGGTAATATCACGGGCGAAGTGTTTGAATATGGCCATGGCCAGAACATAGCAAACACCTCTTGCAAACATCAGGGGTCAACTGGTAGGTCTGTCGTCGCCAATTCTCGGAGACTGCACCCACGTGTACACAAACTCCTTCTCCTCCGCATGGAACAGCCATGGCTGCGTCGACTGCCTGCCGCGGTTTCTTCCGCGCACGGAGGGATCCCTCCGCGCGTTTCGCCCACCGCGCACTGCGGGTTCTGCGAGGTGGGCGGTGAAATCTCAGAGCTTCAACAGCGAAGCATCGCATTGCGTGTCATCGCCGAGTGGATGCATGTTTGTTGTGGATGCAGAGTACAGGGCATTGGCTATTTATGTGGGACAAGATCAAGGTGGAGAAACTTCCTGGTCAACATGGTAATACTATATTAATGACTACCTAGTAAACCTAAAGTATGCAAAATAAATATCATTTCAGTATTTTTTTGTTTTTCTTGTATAACAATTACCTTTTTTGGATTTTGGGTACCTTTTGATACCTGTTGCATACTTATTAGCTGTTTGTTTGAGAAAAATGAGATCATTCTGTCTGAGATCTCCAGTCTGGAGTTGTCGGCAAATGAACAGGGCGCCAGTACTCACTTTCTGTACACAGAGGATGTCGCAATCACCAGAGGGCATTTAGATGATACATGATGCCCCTGTGCGCAAATTGCAGCTTTCTCGTTTTGCGTAGATTGCTTTGGAGATCCTTAGCGCCATCGAAGCCATTTCAAAGTGATCGAGCTCTATCTATTTAGTTCATAGTCATGGTTCGAGTGGCCAAAACTTCAAGACGTTGCACAGCTGCTTTGCCTTTGCCCCCGAAGAACTTCGAAGCGAAGGCCCTGGAAATCGACCGGACAGAAGCCAATCTCACTGAGAGCATGCTTTGCTTGGGATCCAGCAAAATATCCCAACTGCTTGTGTCATGGAATGCCTTGATTCCATCTTGCCTGGAAGGTTTGGATAAGGCGACCGCTTCAAGCTGAATAATAGAGACACGCTTGGGGGAAGGGAAATCAGAACCTAGCTCGATCTGCAATCGCTGAGATTTCCGCTTTTTCAGTGGACATTTCAACTTCCATGCAGGAGTGGCCAAAAAGCAATTATGGAATATACCGTCCAAATGATGGAAATCACCGGAAAATTTGCGAAAATTGCCGGACGCGGTTTGGATGTTTTGCATGTAACATGTTTGGCTGTTTCAGGGGCTTCTGGTACATTGGTACATGCAGGCTTCCTTACATGTGGCCACACGCTTTGGCTCCTATCACCTCCTTTGTTTCGAGCTTCGCCACTCTGTGTGAGGTGAGGGCTTTGAAGGCATGCCCTGCCCGGCGCCGCCCCGGCACATGATGTTGTGCAGCCCTGCGATGTGGAAGAAACCCTTCTCCAGCAGTTGCAGGAGCAAAACACGGCTAACTCGCTGTAGTAGTTGTTTCGATTCCTTAAGAGGGGCTTGAACTGCGTTACAGGTTGTGTATGACTTCGGCCCAAACGCCCAATTTTCTCACACCACTTTTGAGGTGAGGTAAACTGTCAAACTGTCCAAATTTTGCGCGTCAGTGAAATGGACTGTGCAGCCAACAAAGTTTTTATTGGGAGAGTCAGCCGTGTCAGCAAGCAGGCAGGCGATCCTAAGGGCAATCGAAAGGTACGGTGTATCCTTGCACCTTCGCTGGAGCTGACTCAAACAGCTTAAGTTTAGGTGAAAAACTACCTATAGGTGTAAGGAGAGGCTGGGCTTGGGATTGGAAGCAGCTGAGAGAAATGAATGTTGCATACCCTCCACTGCAGATCGCAACAATTGCCTTTTACAAAACAATGACTTTTCTTGGCTGAGATGACCTTCTTTGCCGGAAAAACACATGATTACTTGGGGCTTGTAGGTAGACACTTGTTTGTGATGTTGTGTCCACCCAGGAGCGCTTTGGAGTGATGCGATTGTCGCACTTCGTTTGCTTTGTTCCACGCATGTATTGTAATAGATAATAGATTACAGATGGATAAATAGATACAGATACATTTAGATACCGACCATCAAGAGGGTCAAACTATGCTGATTGGGCATGTCAAAGTGCCTGGAAGGTTCCAAGGCAGCACCCGCATTGCATGAATGTAGAGTAGAGATTGCACATATAGAGCTGTGAAAACCGTGCACCTTTAGATGGTGCCACAAGAATATCTCAGCCACATGCTGCACTCAGAAACCATCAAAGTTTTTTCTTTGTCATAGGCGGCGCAAAAAGAATCGCGTAGATAGTGTTTTTGTTGGGGCCCGCCACACCAGCGGACAACGATGGGATATGATATCGATACCTCGGCTGCAGGTCGCCAAAGTGCCCGGCGCAGCAGCTTCCTCAGCGGCTTTGGGGATGTCGAAGCGACCGGCGACGTCCCCTCGGAGCGGCACCCGGGCGGGTGGCGGATGTGGGGAGCTGGGGAAGGACAGGAGGTTGGGACGTGAGGAAGTTGGGACGTTGGGAAAACTGTGAAAGAAGGGACACGGGACAGATCTGTGGGAGGCATTTTGTTTTTGCTGTTCTCATGAGAGTTGATCAGAAGTTGATCAGGTGGGAAGCGCCTGGGAGGTACTGAATGTATCATGTGGCAAATCATGTTTAATGAAACAACCATCACATGTTTTTTTCTCTTTTGTGCTCCTGGGCCTGGACCAGGGCATATGTGTTCGGCCCTTTTGACATCCAGGTGTTTGATATGGACATGTTGCACGCCATTGCAGGGACGCGCAGCTGGCTGAAGCCCTTGGCTTTGTGAAGAAAGGTGACCCGGCTCCATCGTCGCGTATCGTTGCACCAGGTACACTTCGTAGCCCTTATTTTGAAGAGGAAACTCACCTTTCAAAGTGTGGGTTGGCAATCTGCTTGTTAGGGGTCGGCACAGTGGAAGAACGGTATTGAAAAGTATTATAACTACACATGTCTATATAGATCATCTACAATACGTAGTAATACCAACAAAGACTCCCACCTCTTGCGGAATTGGAGATTCCTGAGAAAAGCTCACGGCTACCAGAGAACTTTCCTCTATTTTGGCGTAATGTATTTTGTGGATTTTTGCGGAATATCTGTTTAAATACAATGCAAGGGTTCGGGCCACACTGAGGCTACTATGGGCTGAATATACATATTCCCGCTCCTCTTGAGTTGCATTAGGGTTCAGCCGTTCAGCATGTTTGTCTTTCGGGGGGACCAGCAGCGCGTCCAACGACATTGACCACCGAATTGGACAGGTTGGGTAAAGTAGATGCAAAGAGGTCCCAATAATTTTCATGGTCCTTTCAAAGTCATAGAGGCCTTTATATGACGTCTTTGGGTTCCACGTCATGCATGTCATGACTTCACCCTTTGCATCCCGTGGTTGAATCGCTTTCCTGACTTCCGGTGGACCGACCCTTCCTGGGCCAGGCCGCATGGACCGCGCCTTACAGCTTGCAGCCACCTTGGCCCAGCAGCCGACGGATGCTGGACGCTTCCTAGCTGAGCAGTGCTCACATCGGGCCGCGGCGCCTCGGTCCTCGGTCTGCGCCCCACAGTAATGGTTCATGGCACCAGTATACCAAGCGATTGACCGACTGGTTCAGGTCAAGATGATCGCAGCTTGGTGGGCCACCATGTGATAAGGGCATACAAGGACCAGAGAGTGGATAAGTTGGGTTTATGATGTTGATGGATGTCGATGGAGAGAGCTGCGCATTTGCCTTACCACCCCGAGAAGCTGCGTTGGACGATCTTTGCAAGCTGACACCTATGTGGAAGCATTTCGAACCAAACAAACAGACAATTGAAACAAGGCGGCCAACATCACTTGACTTCTCAGAGATCCTGTCAAGTCAAAGGCTAACAGCACACGGTCGCCGTCCAACTGTTCGACCCAACATCATACCTGCCATGTACCTCAGGCCGCGTACCTCAACAGCCAGGAAGCACGCGAGATGGCCGTGGGGCTGGTGGTGGCTGGCACCACCTTCGACATCCCAGGCCCGGTGGGAGCCGACTTTTCTTCGTTTTCAACAGGCATGCTGACCATGAATCGCCCGGATTAAGGCCCAGTTCACCCAGCTTTCAGAACGACCCAAGCTGCGAGACTTCGGTCCCCACCGTTCCCGTTTGTATGGAGGTGTGCACTGGATTTGTGTGTGTTCCTTCCTTTGAACATGGGAACCCCCCAATTTCAATGATGTGCACCGACACTGGGGAGTCTAAATTGAGTCTTCGGGATGCCCAAGATCGATTTGGTCTATACATGCCAGGTTTGCGCAACTTTTGGTTGTCACCAACAGAGTTTTGGCTAGGCTTTGCGCCGCATGTTTATATAGGTACAAACTATGGGCTTATAGTTCTAGCTGCTAGGCTTTGACAGTTGTCCCTGAAGTGTTTGTCCCATTTTTGGCTTCGGCACGCCAAAACATCATCATTTCCACCTGGAATTCTACAATTGCAGTGGTCAGACATTGCACAGATGGTTGGAAGCCAGTTAGCTGGGTCTTTCCAAATCCCCTTTGACACCCAAGTCACTCGGAGGATTAGCTCACCAAAAATCGGGTGAGTTCAGACAAACTTAATCACCGCTTCGAGTTGAGGTGCCAAAGGATTGGGGTCCATTGTTTTTCTCTTTGGCCCAGGCAGAGATGTGAAATTGATCCGCCCCAAGCAGCTGGTGGAGCTTCGACATCGGTTTTTTTTTTGTGTTTTTGCTTGGTCTTTGGGGGATCGGAGTCTGCGGAGAAGACTCAGAGGAGTCATTCCTCCAGTGAAAATTATTCGATGGATCTTAAGGTGGATTTCATGGATATTAAACAGAGACTGGAAAGGGGCCTTGTAGGCCAACTGGAAGAATCCGTGTGTGATGGGATGGATGGATTTAGACGGATGATGTTGATGTCTTGTTTTTTTGTTTTTGTGGGATGCAGTTCCTGAAGATGAACAGACTTCAAATCAGTGACCAGTAGCCACAAGGTGAAATTTGATGAAATTGCTTGTGCCATTTTGTGTGGTCACTTCCCGGCAATGGTTCACATGTGAAGAAGAATTGGTTCAAGTGGCCTTCCTGAGCGGTGTGGTGTAAGCATTTGTTCAGCAGTTGGATAAATAGAACAAGGGACCTGTTGCCCTGGCTTCCTGTGTAGGCATTGGTGAAGACTTGCTATCTGCTTCCAAGTCCTTGAAATAAGGGGACTTCGAGCCACTTGAACGATATCAGCAACCAAGTGTAAAACTGAAACTTGAGCTAGCATAATGACGTATTGCGGGCTTGGTTTTGTTGTATAGAGATAATGACCCCAGACTCCCCCATTTCTCAAGAGTTTCGGAGCTTTGATAAGACGTAATGCATTCCGGGCTGTTTGTTCCAAGATAGTCACAATAAGACATCAAGGTTGCTAGTTTTTCTATGTCGATGTCCTGTAACATGCCACCACTAGTTTCCGGGCAAAACACACCTGCAGTTACTTGGGGAAGGCTTGAGCCATCACACACTGGGTCGGATGTTCGGAGACGCCATGGCCATCGCCACCAGGAAGGCTTTTGGTTGCGCAAAGTGAGTGATGTCCATGACCTGGCTGAAAGCCCCTCGGCGGAGAGGACTCCAATGGAGAGGACTCCAAGCTGAGAATGGTCCAAACATCGGATGAAACCGGCGTGACCGACTGCACGTGACCACGTGACCACGTGACCGACTGGTTCACTCGCTAAGTAGCGCGCATATATCCAGCTGAGCTCTATCTAGATGGTTTCAGAGCCTGAGACGAGTCTCCACATCACCAGAGAGGCACATTATTTTTGGTTGGAAAATCCAGTGAGTCGCCCATGCCGTGGGCGAGCGGCGGTGTGACCTCGTGCGACCAGGTTGATCCCCCCCAACGTTAGGTGGATGAACAGGTACAGACCGAAGGTGAGGCTTTCCCAAGGCCAGGCGTCTGGCCGAGACCAAGTCACCTGGAACTAATTTACTTTTGCAACCCTTCTTTGGTGACGAACTGACGGACCAATCCTTGATGACTTCCCACTGAACATCCATCCCTTGACTGTCCGAAAAGGCGTCCTTTTAGACCCGTAGTCCTTTTGGTTTAGAAGGGATTTCCTACTAAACCACTAAAGCAATTAGGTTGGAGGCCATCGCTATCGCAAGAAGCTACTAGTAGCGTTTTTACTTATCGCAAGAAGCCCTTAGCAAAGGACCGAGCTCGACAGCCAAGCATCCTGGGTTCTTTGCTGTCCATCGTGTGTACACGGGAGACACGGGGCACTGAGGTGGTCGTCGCCTGGCGAAGGCGTCCTTAGCACTTGGGGAGGCCGGGGTGGCCAAGCAGCTTTGAGAGAAGCAGCTGAGTGGGTGGCCAAGGTCTCAATCCCAAGTGTTCAGATAGGCGAAGGGAAACAGGTTTAATCCCAGGTCCTCGTCGATCCCAAGCCTTTGAGAACAGAAAGACATTAAAGACATCCCAGGTGGTCAAAAATCTTCCAAGCACTACTGCGCAAACGTAGCTCGGGGAAATCAGTTTTCTTGAGCCCCAGCAGCATTTGTCTCCCAATGCTCTATCACTTCGAAACTACTGTATGTTTGTGTTTCAATTGGCTCTAGTGTGCAGGAGGTCTTAGAATGTGAACAGTTCTGTAATAGAATATGTGATTATGCACTCTAGTTGGTCTGCTCAGAGTCCACTCATGGTTGATAGAGAACTTTTGCTAGTTCCAGTCACAGTTGATTGACATTGAACTGCCTTTGTCCAGTCATGCAATTCATGGACCATGGAAAAGTTTAATGCAAGATCTTGAAAACCGTGTGATCCTGTAGTGGAGTTGGTAGTGATCCGGTGGATATCCCAGCAGTGTTGGAGTTTGTCCATAAATTGTGGTGGAAAATCTTCAGAGCCGGGTTGTTGGGTTTGCTTCCTCTCTTGCCTGGTATGTCATATGTTTGCAAATGAGAAGTGCTGCAAGAAGTTTGCCTGAATCCTGCAAAACAACATGAAACCCTTCAGTACGGGAGAACCTCCACTCCTCTTAGACATGACATTTATTCCACTCCACAAATACAACATGACATTAAATACTGTGAGGTGCTTACCGTATTTGTTTGGCACGTGTGCCACATGCATGCGCGTTCCAGCGTCCAATCCCAGCGTCCATATGCATCCAGCAATGTGGCAAACCCGCCCTGATTTTGAAATCCACCAAGCCCTTCTCCACTCTCCTCAGACACGTAGACTCTTGATTGATAACGGCCCCCAGACATGGATGGTGTAAAAACCTTTGTCAAAACCTCAGGCGATTTCAGGCGATGTCCGGTTTCTTCATTTGTCCCATGATGGTGCCGATTGGCCAGGGCCAGCCCTGGCCCTTTGCAGCCCGAGATTGGCAGCTGCTGGCACGCTGCTCTGTGCTGCGTCCGGGCGCATGGACAGTCCGGAGGTTCGGTTTGGAACATGCCCGATGGACAAACTCTACTAGGTAGTTTCAACTGTTCCTATAGGTGGTATGATGTGGAACAGTTGGTTAAGCCACAGTTTGATTGGGTCAAGACTAGCTTAAGATGATGGTTGTGCTGGGATTGGATTGATAGCACTGATAGCACTATATAGTCCACCCATGTCTACCCTTCGTTGGATGTTCCCGCACAGATGCTTGTTGTTTGAGTGTATTTTTCCTTCTGACATCTATGGTCAACCCATGCCTAGACCATGTTTTACATATCCTGCCAGCGTGCGCGCCCTGTCATGTGTCAACATAACAGTTGCGCATTCGGTACTTCCTCTAAGGCCTAGCAGCTCAGGACGGGTTTGCGGCATTCATTACCAAGGTCCGGGCATTGATTGACAATCTTGCCATATGCTACCTACAACATGAAGGAACCAAAGCTTGTTGATAGACCCATATTCTAGCATATCATCTATAGTATATCTACACATATATGTTAATTGGTCAATTTGTCAATGTTCTGTTCAATGTTATTGTTTTAATGTCTTGTTTTTATTTGATTGAATTTGTGTGTAGGTGTTGTACACAATAATCATAGTAAACTATATTACCGGTAAACAACGGTATTGTTCAATAAGCACCTATTTGTTTCAGCACTCATGTCTTCCGTGTGTATTTTTCACGAGGAATGAACGAAGCAGAGTGAGGCTTGTTAATATGGCCTGGTTTCTACAGACCTGAGGTCTACAGACCTGCCAAAGTCAAGCAGTTCTGCAGGCGTTGGGCACCCCAACTCCGGACCCGAGAACCGGACCGGCGTGGAATGCTGAACCCCAAGGTTTGGGAGCTGCCCTCATTTGGTTGAACTATGCGGCACCGTTCGGTTCATGTTATGATAGGATTGTTTTGTTTGATTGCTGGGAGTGAGAAGTCTTCAACTTGTCATTGTGTGTTTTTGCTGTCAAGACTCGCTGATCTACTTGGATTATGTATCTTTATTTCTTTGGTGCTCACTCGCTCCCCACCTTGGGAGAAACAACATGGGACCCGTTTCTTGAACCACATGGGACCCGCATGCCGTATCGTATCGTCGTTCTCGCATGCCGTATCGTATCGTCGACTATCACAGGCCTCCCAACCGTTAGGGATCCGTTCGGATCGCATCACGGATCAGGTACATCGGCAAGCGGATCCAAGGCAAAGCCGGGACCGGGGACCAGGGGGGGAGGAACGAAAGCATGGTTTACCGGTTCACGAGTTGGACGAACGCAGGTGGCGAGTTTGACGCAGAGATCCCTTCCGCTTCGGGCGATTGAGTGGCTGGACTGGACGTCACTCCGTTCTTCCGAAAGGGGCGAACTCCGGGACCGAGGGAGTGCTTACTTTAGATGAGTGACCTCTTGGAGTCGGAGATCCAACCAGCTTGGCGCCCTGATATGGAGATCAAAGGGGTGCATGCCTTGAACCCACCCCACGTGGAGCAGCCAAAGTCATCATGGAAGCTGCATGAAGCTGCCTTTGATCCCTCTCAAGTGTCCGAAATGCAGGTGATGGTTCCCTGCTGCCGAAGTTGCCGGCGCTTTGGGCCATCTTTGTGAAGTCAGGAGATGAAACGAGTAGAACCCTGGACACCGTCGTATGTTGGAGCGAGTTAGCAGACGATTTGACAGGCGGTCTGGTGATGTCTGGTGGTTGTGAATCCATGTGTGGCCAATCCATGTGAAACTGTTTGAAATGATGCAAGTAGCCTGTGGATGCCATACTTGCCACGTACTGGTACCATGTTTTTTACGCATACGTCAGGTTGTTCCGCAACACCCACAGCAGGAAAGCATTTGCGAGAGGCTTTGCTGAGCTGGAGCGCCTAGTGAGTGACGGAAGTGGGTCCTGATGACCTGGGTCCAAACCCGACGATGGCTTGGTCTAAACCAGAGAGATAGCAAAAGTGTCTTAAATGAATGTCGTTGGGCTATTTATAGAAATGGTCCTGTTGCCCAGGTCTTTTTTGGAGGGTCCTGGGTAGACCTGTTTTTGAGGTTGTTCTTCAGGAAACACATGCAGTGCCGCAAATGCATGCCGCAGATAAGACATATATATATGTATAATATATATACACACTCCGCATGCACAGTCGGGGCACCACTCAGTGATTCGCAATGAGGTCCTGAGCCACCTGGGCCTTTGGATGAGGTTGGGGTGGGGGGGTTGGGGTTCTTCTGGATGTGTCGAGTCTGACCAGTTCCTCAGATCCAATGAAGCGGCAAATTAATGGATCACTTCAACAAAGTTCACCAATCACCACAGTGTGTGTTCTTTTTGTTGGGTCAGTTTTCCTACGGTTTTCCCTTCCGGTCTTCTACTTCACCGACGTCTTCTACTTCACCGCCAGGGCGCGGCTGGAGCTGACCTGCCCTCCGCAGACGTGGGGCTCTTCCGCGCGTTGGCGGAGCAGCGGCAGCGCGCCGCGGCGCGGCAGATGGAGATCCTCACGGCGCGGTGTTGGCGACGAGTCGACGCGGTGTGGAGACGACGTGGAGACGGGAGACACGGAGACGGGTGGAGACCGTGGCTCATCAAATACACAACAAGTCTTGTTTGTTCAGCTTTTCAGAATTGTGTCCCTGTGTCCCTGTGTTTCCCGAATGATGTTTGGGTGGGAATAGTTAAGTGAGGGGAAAGTAGCGGTGGACATGCGCCCTCAAGGAATCATTGAACTCTGTAGGAATGTGGGTCAGAGATGGTCAAATTAAACCAAACAAAATCCTTCACAACCAGGCGCATAAGGTAAGGGGTAAAGGATCTTGTTTCAACTGAAGTTAACCGAAGGGTGAGATTATTAAACCATGTTTAAGGTGAGTTATTGAAGCAAAGGGGGGCATTGAATTGAACAATCCAATGACACGTGAGGGATGTTGACAAGAATGAGGGAACCATGGAAGACCTGTTTCTGATCTCTCCCATGCCAGAGCCCATGCCGTCTTGGAACCCATTCAAACCCCATGAACCCCCATGAAACCCCTCCCTCCGAGCGGCGTGACGAAATCACTCCGCGGATTCCGCGGCAGGAGTGCATCTCCGAGGCAGCCACCGGTGGTCTCTTTGAGGCCGAGGATGGCCTTGAATCTCAGCTGGATGACATGACAAAACACAGAGAATGGCTGGTTTGCTGTGGTCTGAGTCGTTTGGGATGGACAGGGTGTATTTGGAGTATATATTTGGAGTGGGGATGATTTTGTTCCATGTTCTGTGGGTACATGGACTGCGCTCAAAAAGCCCTACTCAAAAAATATAGATAAACGTAAAAACTTTTAAGGCCGTTTAGAAGCGGGCCCCCAGCAGAATATGGTGATACAGCAAGGCAGCGCTAGATTGGCGCTAGGTTGGCGCTAGGTTTCTTCATGACAGGATAGCAAGCAGGGAAAATAAGAATCAAGCAGAGAGCAGGAAACAGAAGAAGCAAGACAAGAAAAAAAACAAGAAGAAGAAGAAGAATAAGAATAATGCACAACAAGACGAAGACAAGCAAGCAGGAAAAATAAGAATCTGACAGGATAAAGAAATTGACGGAGATTTTTGCGCTAGGCTGGCACTAGATCTGCGCTAGCACCGCGCTAGACGACGGTCCATTTCTTGACCATTTGCCCATCCAACATCCAAATATATCCAAATCTTTTGAGTCAGCTCTTACGTCCTCACTAATTATGTCGTTCTGAAGATTTCTGAGAACAAAAAGTGGAAACAACTGCAGGAGTCCAGCAGCAGCAGCAGCAGCAACAGCTCCAGCATCTCAGCAGTCCGCGCTAGACACCTCTCACAGTTTTTGCAGTTCACACGCCTTCATGTTTAACATCCCTGTGGTTTGAGTGTGGTTGAAGTTTAAAGGAGATTTAGAAGCGGGCCCCCATGGAATTGCGATGAGTGCACCATTTTGGGAAAAGACATGTTGGAAACCAACCACATAGTTTCCCTCAAGCATCGATGTTCTGTGGGAAGAGCTGTTGAGGAGCGGACGGATTTCTTTCATCGATCGATAAGCGGACATTGCTTTGGTGGGTGATGCAGTGTTTTCCCGGCATTACTGTAGAGTCTTTAAACATGTGAAATATATCCTAGGGCCCCCAGTCTGGGTGGTTTGTGGACACCCAAAAAAAACAGCTACGGGGCTATAAATAGACACCCCGACAGGAGGGGTCCTGTTTGTGTTGGTCCCTGATCCAATCCGCTGGAATGGCTAGGCATTTACAGTTTGGCGTGGTGGAGCGGAGCGGAGCCGCGTCACCATGCTGCGTCCCAAACTCGTTGGGCTGCGGTTTCCTTTACAGACTCCCCAGGGCTCCAAGTACCTCCTCAGAAGGTATGACCGGACTCTTGAATCCCACCCCAGTCCCACCTTCTTAGAAGGTACTTGGAGCCCTATAGGGACTATCATTTGTTGATTTCGTGGACTCCGTGGAACCCGGAAAGAATCCATTCCAGACCCGTCGAACTGCAGAGCGTGAAGTGGACGTGTCGCCTGTGGGTGGGGTTGACAGGAGAGATGTTCACCGTTTTTTGTTCACCACACAAAAAAATACATGTGTGAACAGAGCCGCACAGTATGTCGCACATGTCACAAAAATTCGGAGTTTGATCCCATTCTTTCCACTTCTTCTGTGCGGCTGTCGCGATTGTTCAGCTTAGTAGTTTGCTGCTTGAGGATCTCTTGCAGGTGGCAGAGGGCATGTTCAAGGCCGAGCCGTTGGTTCTTTTTTGAGCTCAAACAGGATCAGCTCAAACAGGATCGCCGAGCCGTTGGGGCACTGTTTGCAGTTTTTGGATCGCAATTCCAGACACTCCATGTATACGTATGCCAGTCCCATGACACCCCGTTTCAACCAGCCCAATGTACGAGCACCCCCAGTCTGGGTGGTTCATGGACACCCTGACAGGAGGGTCCTGGGGATGTTTCGGGGAGACCGGTACGCTAGGACCGGTCCCCCAGAATCGACACAGCTTCTGCAGACCGAGTCATATGAGGTTTCTATGCTAGATGCGTTTGGAAAGACTGCAGAGAAGATACTATAGGTGAAATGAGTTGTCAACAGACTGTGCTTGGATACATGTGACACTAAAGTAAACTAACTAGTCATTTTGAGTTGACCATATTAAACTATGTTGGCAAATTACAATGGCGATTGATATGGAATCAAATCCATTTGTCTATTTTGCTGGTCCATTCTAAGCTGTGCTCAAACAAACCCGCTCCGTTCAGCATAGACATTGGTGACAGGATCAAAACTACAAATGACATCAAGTGATATGACTGGTGACAGGATAAAAACTACAACTAGCATGTAGACAAAAACTATGGCCATCCACAAGTACGCTAGATAGACTGTCAAATGATTGAAAACGAGTACACCTTGGCATACCTGGGCCATAAATGGACAAAAAGGGCAGACATGTCCTAATTGGATGGACCGAGTTCACAGTCACCAGGTGGTTTGCTGCTCCACGTACTCTCCAGGTGGACTGCCCGCCTGAGATCCGCCAAAGCTCCTTAAAGATCTTACGCCTCTTGGACTCCCAACGGTTTGCTTCACATAAGTGCCATGGCCATGGCACTCGGCCCGAAGTGATTGATAAGGGTTTTTGCTTTTGTGGCACAGGTTGATAAACGGACCAACTCCACGTTTGTCAGTCAATTTGTCGTCAGTCTAACGACAAAAACAACAAATGGTGATCATCCGGGGTCAATGTTCTTAGCTCAGCTGGTACTGCGTCACAAGCACTCTTTCAAAATCAAAAGTTCAGCCGGTGTCGGTGTTGTGGAATTTTGCAGGATTGTGTTTGCCATAATCAGGGTCGCGAGCTGTTGTGTTGCCAAGTAATTCGGACTGCCATCTAGCCGGGCTGCATCTAACAGCAGGGCTGCTCGATTCTGGGCTGTTGGATTCGCACAAAAGGATGGCAGTTCGCAGCGGTGGTTCGCAGCCCCTCCCCAAAGGTGGTTGCTACGGCCCGCTTCGAACAGTGCGAGGGGTAGCGCGCCTGTGGTGTCGCGGGGCCAAGCGGGATCAGATGAAGAACTTCTGAAGTTCAGGATCCTACCCAGTCAGTGGATAAGCATGTAACCTGTTTGGGGAAGTGCTTCCAAAATTCAACAGCTGAAAAATGGTTATATAACCATATTTTCCAGCAAGACTGACTGAGGGGGTCAGGGATGCCTTCGACTGCGACAGAAACAAGAATCAAGAGTCCTGCAACATTTTGCTAGCAGCACTCCCCTTGTCCTTCCGAAGGGTTCATGCTTTCTTCAATAAGGATGGTCCACACACCCATAAAATCACACCATGAATCATGAGTCGAAGACTGTATTAGGCACCAAAGACTAGATTGATGCCTCTTGCTTTTGACCACCACATAGTCCAAATCTTCCATGTGGACGAACAAATAATACCCTCAGCTCCCGTGAAACAAACCTCTTCAGGCGCCACCGCCACGGTGCTGCGCGAGCGTTGAGCGGTTTCGGAAAAAGCGTTAAACGCGTGGCAGGGCGTAGCACGGTGCGGGCGTAGCAGTGCGCTGGAGGAGTTGAAGGTAGCACGGTTCTCTTGATCCAGGAAAAGCAGTGGCTGAGGTTGATCCTTCAGTAGTTTCTCTCTCACATCCAGCTACTGAATTGACAGAATTTGAGGCCAATGATTCATGATTGTAAAATTCCTTGTGAAGCAAGTTCTTGCCTCCATTCAACCAGGGCTTTGGAGGATTTGGGACAACCTACCGAAGGTTTTGAATCACATTCGAGGCCGACAGGACTTTTCGGCCTTCACATTTCGGACTGAATAAATTCAGCACTTCTTTCACTTGTTTCTCAGAACAACCTGGTTCAGAATTGGTGTCTATTGTTCCAGAACCAGAACATGATGAGACCTGTGCCAATGGTCGTTTATGAATGCTTTGTCTAGCTTCGTGTAACCAGGGATGGCCACATTACCAAAATGTATTATTAAAGACACCAGGGCTCTCAGAAGTAGAGAAAGTGTCACTCCTGGCTGAAGTTGATTTTGCTCAGGACATCTAAAAGGCATGATGCATCCATTATAATTAGATGATTATTATACAGGGAAACCTCACGCTTGGCGGTTCCTGGTGGTCAAGAATGCTTTTCTTGGCTTAGAGGGAAGTGCTTGACGGAAGCAAGCCAGATGCAGTATGTTGAAGGCCAAGAAGGCGTGCCCCTGGTTTGGAGGCCGCTTTTTGTGTCCCTGGTGGGCTTGTTCCGTCAGGCGATCAAGAAGAGAAAGGCACGAGACAGTCTGGTGCTGACTGGAACAGTTGGATCCTTTCTTTTCGCCTATTGGGTGAGGTGGCCAGGAGCCTGTGGTGTCAGGCGTTGAAGGAAACCAAGATGAGAATGACGAATCTGGGACAGCCTGATGGGTTTGCATGCCGAAATGACATAATGTATATAATATGTTATTCTGACACCTGATCCTGCCTATTTTCTTTTCTTTTTTTTTGTATATAGAGTCATATTACCACGGCGGGTCATGCGGGTATAGAAAGCGGCTCATTCAGTGAACACAGCGGTTATTGCATGCACCACTTGATGTTGAGTGCGCTAACAAAGCTAGTGCTAGGGTCTCATCCAATATGCGGGTGAGTAGTTCTTTGGTTGAGAGGATACAGTGTCTTACTTATTCTTGTGTTTTTGTATGATTGACGTTGTTTGTTTAAGTCACCAGCCAACCAGTTGATAAGACTGTCAACATGCCCCCCTTGCGTCCCTTGAAGTTTGCTGCTTCGCAGGTAAGGGAAAGGGTAGAGGAAAGGGCGCTCCACCGGACGCTCGGCGAAGAATGGGGAGGCTGAACAGAATTGAACATGGCCACTAACCACTTCCTGGTGCCTTTTTGCGTTGCAGAGTTTATAGAGATGAAGCCCTTTCGAAGGGGTTTTAACTACTTTGAAGAGTTACAGGGCAGCAAGAGTTCCTGTATATACATGGTTTGATGCACTGTACTGGTAGCTGCCTTCAGATCTCACCATCCTTGTGAACTGCGCTTCTTTGTGGGGTGAGGTTTGGTTGGTTTTATTGAACAGTGGGCAAAGGAGGTCCCTTGTACCATAAGGGAGGTGCAGGCTTCACTTCCCACATTTGCTTAGTGGACGGCTCTACTCAGCTCTGATTGTTTCATAGGAAGCATTTGTAGTTTCACCATATGTGGCCAGGTTCTGGACTTAGTTGCATGGGTTTTGTCATAGTTTTTGTCTACTACTTAGTGATACCTTGGGTAAACCCTCAATACATTACCCTTCTGCAATCAAAAGCAAGAACTCAGTAGCATGAACGTTCAGTAGCATGAACAGTCAACGTGTCTTTCTGCAGTTCGCTTCTTTCGATCTTCACGTCTTGCTCTTGCCATCCCAAAACCCGAAACGAGCCGTCGGCTTTTTCGACGCCCAGCGACGCCCAGCGACACTTGTTTTGGGTGAATATGACCAGCCTGGAGCAGCAGCGCATTCGCCGCGTTTGATGTATCCAATGACTCTGCCATGCTCCCATCCTCATGACTCTGTTCCCCCTTCCTTACTACGTCCAGCCGATGTGAGCGACAGCCATGTTGGAAGCTTCGGCCCCCCCGTCCGGCTTCGCAGGGGGCGCCGAAGCTCACCCGGAAGGAGCGGAAAAAAGCCTCCATCGCCAGGCGAGAGCGGAGAAAAGGGACCGGAGACCGGAAGCTTGTTAAAGCCTGACTGAAGAGGGCATGTAGGTCCAAGTTTCCAGAAAATACCCAAATCATAATAGTTATTTAGTTCTGACTCTTGACCCACCACAAGTGTTCAGGGCATGCTGCGGGTTACTGTGATCTATACTGGATCTCGACATAGGCAGACCCACTAGACCAGACCCGTGTTCTTCCGCAAAACAACCCCAATTCGCAGGAATTGTTGCCAGGACGCCGCATTCAGCAACCTTCATCCATTAGCGGTTTCACAGACTGAAAGTGCTCTTGTAGATACGGAGTTGCATTGATGGTGTACCTTCCCAGCACCCTGTGAAAATGTCACATGCATGACATTGACTTGTGGATCAGTTGATAGTACTGGTGAGTTGGATTTTCCATTGTGCCTGACCTGACCTGACGACTGAGATGCCATGCATCTAATCCACTAACAGATCCACAGATCCGCTTCTTGTGGAACTTCCGGCTTTTGCTGCCCTTGGTCATGTAGTCAGACTGGCACGGAGACCAAACGAATCGCGGCACCCTCGGAGCACCCTCGCGGCGCGAAGCCCGTCGGAGTGCCCGTCGGGTCACGACTGACGACGAAAGACCTGTTCCCAGGGCCAAGGGCTACGTGCCAACGAAGGAGGAAGCTCCAAAGCCTGCAGCCCCCGTGTTGGGACAGGCAGAGCTGGGTGGATCAAGATGGTCCAGTGGTCTATGTTCAGAATCTATTTCTACATGAAAAACACTCCTGAGATCTTTCTGAGTAAGTCCAAGGCCCCCTTTGCGGCTCCCAGGCGGAGGTGGCGTGGTTTCCCACTCGTGATGGAGTTCTGCTCACGATCTGTTGGTGGTGCTGGAGACGGATGTGATCGGATGTGTTCCAAGCATTTTCCAATGAATCTCGGTCATCTTCCAAGAGATCATTTAAAGAAGGGTTTTGTAAACAGCTTTAGTAGCACAATTGTTGTTCAACCAATACTACATCAACTACATCAATGGTGGGCCGGTAATCCGATCGTTGTGTTAACAACTCCACAATCTTTATGATGACACCCTGACATGCACACATCACTGTCACCTCCTTGGACATGAACATGACTTTTACATTTCTTTCACCCAGGTGTTTCGAGAATTAAGGCCATGCTGAGTCTCCTTGTTTAGTAGTCAGAGTCAAAAAGACCAAGAGTGACCCCAAGGATGTAAACTTTAAACACTGTGAAGATGGTGACCACCATTCCCACTTCAGGTGGAGCTTGCCGATCTCTCTTGATGCCGGAACATCTCCCAAGCCGTCTGGGACAAACGGCCGTCCGGGTCAGTGCTGTCCGAGCTGCAGAGAGTGCTGCTCCGAGCTGCTTTGGAGAGTGCTGCCAGGTGAAGAAGAAAGGAAAGAAGAGGATAAGGCGCAGAGCAGTGGAATTCAGGTGAGAGGTATATTTTGATTCAGGCCAACGAGATTCTGCACAGGAATCTGGCTGTAATCTGAAGAATAGACAACCAAACAGATAAATTCCTGAATAGGTCGAATAGGTAATCGGATGTAATTAAGATGTTTAGACTCTTTGATGTCAAAGGGTTTTATTGGTTGGGACCCTTTGATCTCATGTTGAGAGTCCAAGTGAAGCGGATGAACCCCACACGTGGACTCCGAACGCCTTTCCTGCAACCAAAATAAAAACATACAAAACAATAATATACATATATAATCATAGATATGTCAGAAACAAATAATCATGCATTATATATATATGAAACAAAATAGAAGTGTGTTGGCATTTGTTTCACCAAAATTGGGGGCCTGGCATCGGCTGTACTGCCTTGGTCTGACACCAGAACACGATGGACAGATCTGACTAGATGACTAGTTTTGCAAGATCTTGTATAGGTGGCAATTGATATCAAGGTTTCTTCCAGGGGTTTATGAACATCTCAAGGTGGTATATGAAGATCCGATTACACATTGATGTCATCATGTCAAGGTTTCTTCTTTCTCCAGTTTGGTGTGTTCCGGAACCTTCTGTACCGTCCACACAGGCCGGGGCAAAGCAAGCGACAGGGAGGTGGTACCGGAGGAACTCCGGTCCCACGCCCAGCCGAAGAGGCGGGAGGTGGCACCCCAAAAACGGATGCCCTTTTGATGGCCTCTTTGATTCTTGATTTGGATGGGAAGGGGGATATGTGTTATTTTCATGAACATCCTAATAGGTAAGGGGGATATGTGTTTTGTTTTGTTTTTAGTGAACATTCTGATAGGTATATGGTACCCAATTGGCCATCATTGACCCATTCGTACCCATTCTATCTTGCCATCATTGGTCGCACCTCAACAATCTGTCCACCCATTGTGGTTTGACCATCTCTCTAGGGAGGGAAAGCTAGTTGCCATCCTTCTACTTGCAGAGGTGACAACAGAATCATTTGATCAATCCAAAGGGGACAGCAATGTTCAGTGCTTTAGAATTGAACAAGTACAGACCTAAAAGGCACACCGGGACAAATTACTGGCAGCCTGATAGTGACAGCTGTTAATCAATCGTATTCCTCTACCCCTGAAAGCCACCACATGTCAAAGTCCCCAAGGCATCAGATGAGCAGCACCAAACAAGAGCGCCATTGATTTGTAAATTATTTGTATACAACAAAGTGTACTAAGAGGTATACTTCCAACGCTTCTCCCAAACTGGAAGACTTTTCCTTACGTATGCCCTCGAGTCAAACTGGAGTGTTGTTTTCAAGGGTGAGGTCAAACTGAGCCTGTTGAACTACGATCTGTACCGTCCTGAGAAGATAATGTGCTAATTGGTCAATGTTTGGACATGTCTTCAATCTTCACGGTATACTATACAAACGAGAAGAGTTGGATTCAAGGGTTCGATTTTCCTGACCACTGGTATTTTTCATTTTGACAGATTTTGACCAATAATGTTGCTCTTCGGCAGGTATCGCGACTCTGAAAGGACTGCAAATATTGATTCTTTTCCAATTCACCCAGTGCATGAAGCCATCTCCGGCCCACCGGCGTTTCAAAACCGTGCAGCGCCATGTTGAAGCGACGCCGAGTGCTGTTTCCACACCTCTTGGGGAAGGACGGTATATTTAACGAGCTTGAGTTGTCAATTTCTTCGAAAGCTGTCAGAGTTGCAACCTGGTTGTTGTTGGTCTGGAAGGACTCCACGTCCTCCACACTTGCAGCATCCTCAATGCAAAAGGACGTCAAGGATTCCAAGAAGGATGGCAAGGAGGAAGCAATGGGAATAGGGCCGCATGCCAGCAGAGGGCGAGTTTGTAAAGGAACATAAAGGAAGCAATCGTCAGTAAGAATCGTAAGAAACCATTTTTTGAATCGTTGTTGGGCTTTGGATTTTTCGGGCCGCTTCGCCACAAAGACCAATCAGCCCAGACTCCGTGTAATTATTGGGGTTCGTTGTTGCTGAGCAGGGCTTAGGGCGCGGAGAATCAAGGCTTTTGGGAAAGGTGTTCATTCTTGCAGGCGATGTAATTTGGTGCCAACCATCGATCAAGCACAATAGAAATTCTTTCAATGAGATCACCGATGGACTCATGTATATCATTCGATGTTAGTGGTTGGATTGGGTTGGAAGCGATGGAACATAAGATAAATTCAGCCCACCCTCGAGGAGACCCGGGCCTTGGCGACCCCAGCACGCGCAACCAGAGGAGCCGGGTCCGCTGGAGCCGCGGGAGTGGAGGGGTGTAAATATGTGTAAAGTGAGATCCGTATTTAGTGAGGCCCCCCCCTTGCCATGTGTTTTTGTTTTATATTTTTTTAACTTTGTTTTGGATGTTTTTTTATACCCGGGTAATTACCCGTAATTATGTATAATCTTTTGCAGTTCATGTGCTTTCATTATTTGACTTGGGTTTAAAAGCTGAATATTCAATTTCTGGATCTGGACTGGTAGTTTAATTATGGATCATTTTAGACAAATACTAAATCAAATTTGATCTGGATTTTGTTGAAACAATGACATTATACTTACTTATACTATAATTATGGCTGACCTCCTAAATACTCATCTAACATTAAATACTTTCCCATTTGCAGATCTCAGGTAAATGTTGCATGCCCAGTCTCCCCAAGCACAAACAATTCCCATTAAATCACATGGGCCGGACGCAGTGAGCAAACAGAAATGAATGCCAAGGAGCAAATCGCATGGCTTGAGAAACACACCGTTCAGAAAGGTGAGGTTTCGAGGACACCAAACTGATTTGTACTAACTCTTCGACTGTAGTTGACTAGCTCTCCCACTGGGGTGAACTCACCCTGTGGACTAACTCTTCGACTGTGGCGGACCCTGGTCAGCCTGATTTCGGCAGGCCGCATCGATGGTCGCTCCGTCCTTGGATTTGCATCCCAGAGGTCAAAGGAGGCACGTGGGGGATGCGCAAATACGGATTGGAAACAGCGGATCACGCTCCGCAACATCCCAATTCGATCCAATTCGGACCCCATGTAGTTGAGCAGAATTCTGTGGAATTCCTGTCAGGAGTGTATCATGCTGTTCTCAGAATATGCGACTCTCTTCCCCATGTAACGTACAGTATATTCCCATGATAAATACAGGGTCCAGGTATCTCCTCTTCGGATGGTCTAAACCAGGTGAGTACATACGAAACCTGTTCGAATGGTCGGCAGCAAGACCAGCAGGACATCCATCGGATGGTCCGTCGGACAGGACCCGTCAGGCCTTAGGTATTCCTTTCAGGCTAGTAGGTTGGAGGCCATTGCGATTAGTAGCATCCGACCGTTAGTACCGATGCCCTTAGCTCCGTTCGTACCTTCTTGTTACGTAGTGAGGCCAGGGTCGCCCCGTTCGTAGCGTCCGACCGCTCCAAGTCTCAGGCCGTGGGAGACCAGTCTTGCGAGGCAGAGACAGACCGCAAGAGGCGAGGGGTGGAGACCGGTCAATCCAAGGAGTTTGTGAAAGCCTCCCCAAGATGAACAGCATGAACTGGTACAAGAGCCCTAGGGAGCCCAAGACTTTACAATACTTATCCATATACTACAAATTATTGTTGTATTATACTTTTTGTTGATTTGGGCATATTTTAGCAAATGTCTTTTTAGGTGATTCCAAGAGGAACTACCTTTGCTTCGGTGGGGCAAAACCTAGTCTTTGGACTATGGAGAACGTCACGCTACTTAATGACTGAGGCTTGTGGGAAATCAATGACTCCGTCTTTGTTGACATTTTTGGTCCCAATTGGCCTACAAAAGTCTATGCAACTAGAAAATTAACTTCTGAACCAAGCTGACAGACTGACAGATGGTCAAAGTGTCCGATGTTAACTATGGGAGCAGAACACATCACCGCAAAACGCTGAAAAATGGTGACCCGCCCATCCAGTCCCGCGTGGCCAAAATCCATCCTCAGGGCCAACACCAGATCATGCGGGAAAAAAAGGAAAACATAATTACAACAAACATATTCAACAGAATTCTTATATGCAATAATCAGTTTATAGTTTCACTATGTTTAACTTATGAAACGTTAATATTTATCATTATTTATCCTATCACCTTATATACTAAATATATTAGCCCCCATGGCCCGGACTTGCACTTGTCACTTGTCTAGGTGATTGCCAACATCGGAACATGTTAACAACTCGTGCGTGATGTGAATCCTTTCTGGTCGACATTTCAGATTACACGACACCATGTGGAAGACGTATTGGAGTCAGAACGTCAGACATCCAAAACAGTCACCTGCAGTCTTTGCTATGTCGCAACCAACCTGGCTTGGCTTGCCAAAAGTTTGGATATTTGGTTTGATGAAAGAGTGAACTCACCTTTAAGATAGGGTTTAGATACTGTCACCGGCAGTGTGATGACCTTCAACTCTTTGCACCTATTGTCCTGGTTTTTGTGATGCTATTACAAGCGATTACACCTGTTTCTGGCATTTGTCCAACTTGTGCGCTTTGAAACTTTGTTGTCCACATTAGGTCAGTTTAAAGTCTATACTTTACGTACTACTTTCAGTCACAGTCACAGTTCTTTTTGCCCAATCCAGTCATGCACACCGACATGTTGCCAGGTCACGTCATTAGTGGCGCTTGCTCACACCAACTTTTGTCATTTGCCTCCCTGTAAGTGCCCACATGGGCTTTCAAAAAGCTGACTCGCTGAACCGGTATCGGTGTTCCCACATGCGTCTTTGAGCCACCCATGTGCGAGTGGAACTTAGCATCAAAGCAAGATATATGTTGTATTTGTTGCTAGAATATGCATGTTTCTTGGTCCTCCCCTAAGAAAAGATCTCATTCCGATTCCAATTTTATGCCTCCTGTACCAGGCCTTCGAGCCCGAACCGGGTGGCTTGCGAGGGCCCGAAGCCGGAAGCTCTGGTGATGCCGCTGCTCGGCCGAAACCGGTCTTGCTTGTGCGGATCGGGTGATGTTGATTCGCGAACTGAGTGAACCCCCAGAATCTAGGGTAATATGTTTCCCATAGGGTCCAGGTATACCTCCTGAGGATGGTCTTGGAGGTGAAAGTACTTCCAGAGAATGGTCTTGGGGGGGTCAAAGGACATCCTCAGGATGGTCCTGGACCACTTAGGGTTTAGTGTTGTTTAGTGTTTGTACCAGTTGATTCCGCAAAATGTCTAATCCGGTCCACCTATTAAAAAACACGGCCCCCCCCTCCTAATAAGGAAACCTCGGTCGCATTTTTTCTAATAGGGGGTCTGCAAGGCTTTATATGCATCATGTACAGCTTGAACTTGTTCACGAACATAGCCCCTTTTAGGCTGGAAAAGGCGCGCTACCCGCTTGCATGGTAGCGGAGCAGGGTGAGCTCCTGCTCCGGGTCCCCTGTTAGACAGGGTAAGACCCGCGCTCGGGCGCCTGCGTGGCGGACACCCTGTAAATCCACGTCGTGGTGTGGGCACGGTGTAATTCCTCCCCGAGTGGAGGTGTCAAGCAGCGCCCATGGCTTCGAATGCTGCGCCGCTCACCCCGCCAGGTGCATTTTCGCTCGGCGACTCCCTGGCAGCGGCAGCTGAAGCAGGTCTTCTACCTCAACAACAAGCTCAGCAGCAGCAAGCTCAGCCAGCCCTTCCAGCCCAGCAGGTTGGCGCCAGTGGTCTCATCGACACCAGAGCCATTGGCAAGTTGAAAAGCTTCTCAGGCAAAGAAGAAGAATGGGCAGCCTGGGTCTTCGTGGCAAGAGGGTACCTCAACTTGCTGGATACAAGCTATCAGGCCCTCATCCAGGCTGCAGAGAACGCCAACCGGTACAGCGACCTGATCCTGAGCGATATGGGGCAGCACGCCCAGGAGAAAGCCATCATCCTGTTCAACCTCCTCACCCAGAGCGTTGATGGCAGAGCCCTACAGGTGTTGATGAATGTGGAGAATGGAAATGGCTTCCAGGCTTGGAAGGCCCTCTGCGAGGCCTATGAGCCTGACGTTGGAGGAAGACACACAGCTATGCTGATGAGCATCATCGCCCCGGCATGGGAGACTGTCAAGGAGAACGATTTCCTGGAATCCCTGGAGAGTTGGGAAGTGCTGACGAGGCGCTACGAGATCCAAGCCAAGGAGCATGTCTCGGACTCCACAAAGATTGCGGTCCTCATGAAGCATGCGCCCATGTCACTGAGGTCAGCCCTGAGGACTGCTGGAGCTCAAGTTGGGACTAACTATGAGCGAGCAAAGAAGTTTGTGCGAGATTTCCTTCAAGCAGGGCAATATTACTACAACGCCAAGGGCGAGTTGGGCAAAGACGATGGTGGAGCAGCACCCATGGATGTTGGTGCAGTGTCCTTTGACAAGGGCAAGAAGGGTGGCAAGTCAAAGAATGACAAAGGAGTCAACAAGGGTGGCAAGTTTGACAAGAAGGGAAAACCACCTCCTCCAAAGAAGTTCAACGGTGAGTGCTCCTACTGTGGAAAAAGGGGGCATAAGAAAGCTGATTGCCGCTTGCTGGCCAAAGACAAGGTCAAGCGTGAGGGAAAAGGAAAAGGTGGCAGCACCAATGCCATCACAGCGGCATCGTCATCGGCAACTGGATCTGCATCCCCCGGTGGTGGACAGAGCACCAATGCAGTCTACTACTGGCTACCTGGTGATGGAGAGCGTGTGAACTGGGCAGACGCCGAGGACGTCTTTGACATTGAGGATGAGTATTCAGATGAGATGTGGGTGATGATGATTCACCGAAGCAAGCAGCCATCGGACTGGCATTTGCTGGCATCCCAGTCGCCTGACAAGGAGATCAAGTACCTCCTGTGGGACTCAGGCAGTGACGAGCATCTGTGTCGGCCAAGTTTTGGCGGCAACTGCCATACTGAAGAGAGTGAAGTGAAACTGATGGGCATTTCAGGACAGTGCCTTGGACGACTTGGCAAGAAGAAGGTGAACTACAAGATCATTGGCGAAGACAACAAGTTCTTGAATGCGGTCACCGAGTTCAAGGTCAGCGAGCAGGCCAGTAAGGATGTCCTGAGTGCTGGGAAGATGAGCAGGAATGGCTTTGCAGCTGACATGAGGAATCCCATGAAGCCTTTCCTCACACACCCCCAGCTGGACTTCAAGATTCCCCTGTATCTTCACTGCAACTCCTACTATGTCAAGGTGCGGGACGACGAGACGATCCCCATGGACTTCATTGTGAACACTGGTGTGGTGGCACCTGTGGCAGGTCAAGGAGAGGAATATGAGTGGGAGTATGCAGGCATCGAAGATGAGGGAGAAGGGATTGAGATGGTCCCCATTCCACCTGAGTTTGCAGAGGATGAGGCCCATGCTCGTTGACCGTCCACGACTACACGGATGGAGCAAGGTGGAGGATATGAGAGCTAGACTCCGAGAGCTCAAGGAGCCTATCTATGGTGACAAGCACACCCTGTGGAAGAGGTTGCAGGCTGCAGAAAGAGCTCTGTCGATCAGGAGGGCACGGGCACGAGACTATGTTGAGAGAAACTCTGCCCGACAGCAAGCCTTGCGTGAGGGCAGGGAACCTGATGTCTCCTATGTGCCGGTACCTCAGAAGCCGGACACGGAGGAAGTTGAACGGCATCTGATCACACATCTGCCGCCAGCACCTTGGTGTGAGTTTTGCACCAGAGGCCATGCAATGGATGATCCTCATCGACGCAGGACAATGGAGCAGAAGCTGGCCGAGAACCACTTCGAGCTTGACTACAGCTTTCTCAAGACAGATACATCCATTGCAGAGCGGTTTGAGGAGAGCTCAGACACGATCCTCTCCATCGTGGACAGTGGCACCGGGATGGCCCTGGCAATGTCCATTCCTGGCAAGAACCTGGAGACACCCTATGTGATCAAGACAGTGACATCTTTCATAGCACAGCTGGGCTACATGCAGGTGAAGCTCCGAAGTGACAATGAGCCTGTGATCAAGAAGATCGTTGCCAAGATAGCTGGTGCATTGCGAGAAGGGAAAGCTCCAGGAGCTGAAGGACTCAAGATACAATTTGAGGAAGTGCCAAGGTACTCATCTCAGAGCCTTGGAACAATGGGAGCATTCCAGAAGTTGCTCCGTGGTGATGTCTTGACCCTCAGGTACCAGACAGAGGCTAGCTATGGCATCACGCTCCACACCTCACACAACCTGTGGCCGTGGCTGGTGAGGTGGTGTTCATTCATCAGAAGCAGATTCAGCGTCAAGGGCAACCAAAGGACAGCATATCAGGATGCCTTCGACACGGCATACACCTCGCAGTTGGTGCCCTTTGGTGAGACTGTGCTCTTCAAGATCCCTATGAGTAAGGCCAGAAGATCCCACAACAGGGCAGTGGTGCCCAAAGGGGAGACGGCATGGCGTCAGGGCATCTTCCTTGGGAGAAGTGTGACCAGTAATGAGTATCTACTGGGAACAGAAGATGGGACAGTGACGGCCAGGAGTGTGCGCAGACTAGCTGACAGCAGCAGGCGCTACAACAGAGAGTTGATGGAGAAGATGATCGGTGTGCCGTGGGATATGGGCACAACCATTGGCAGGCCAAAGAGGAAGGCCGAGATCGCCTTGCCTCAGACACCAAACCTGATCCCGACCGAAGAGACGGCCAAGAAGAGCCCCAGGCTGGAGCCGAGTGGGGAGGTCATCCAAGAGGAGGACGAGGGAGACTTTCCTGTGCAATCAGGTCCTTCGTCGGCATCAAGACCTACGGCTGGTGTGGGCGGTGATGAGGCAGCACCTATGGATTTGGGCATGTCTGCAAGACGGGCATGGGCAGGAGAGTCTGGTGAGATGACTCCAGAGGCCAAGAGAGCTCGCGTGGCTGGAATCTTTGTGGGTGCATTGTACTCGCCGACAGAAGACACCATTGTGTGCGAGGATGACGTAGACCAGGCCTATGAGGACTCCGACAATGAGGAGAGCAAGCCTTTGAGCAGGCAAGAAATGGATGAAGGTGATGCAGAGGAATTCCGCAAGATGGACAAGTACCAGACATATGACCCTGTGGAGCAGAAGGATGGCATGAAGATCCTGGATGCTGTCTGGGTCAGAACCCGGAAGCCAGATGGCTCGGTGAGGTGCAGGTACTGTGTGAGAGAGTTCAAGCGGGGAGACCCGCGCACTGATGTGTTCGCGGTGGCATCCAGTACCTCAACGTCAAGGGTCATTGACATTGTGGGCATCAAGATGGGCTACAGCTTCTTGACAGCTGATGCAGAGAACGCATTCTGGCAGGTGCCAATTGCAGAAGAAGCCTACATGAAACCTCCAAAGGAGTGGTTGAAGAAGATGGCAGACAGTGGAGTCGATCTACCTGATCGCGTGGTCTGGAAGCTCAACACTGAGTGGTATGGCAGACGCATTGCTGGCCAGGCCTTTGTGGAGTGGGCAGCTGGGCATCTCAAGGAGATTGACTTCAAGAGAAACCCAGCAGCGCCTTGGATGTTCTACAATCCGGCCAGTGGCGTGTTGATGGAAGTGCATATGGACGACTTCTATGCCACCGGACCAAGAGCAGCTTTGCTGGAGTTGGAGAAGAAGCTCCATGAGAAGATCAAGATGAAGAGTCAGATCCATGAGAACAGCGTGGGAGAAAAGTGGACGCACCTCAAGAGGACTCGTGAGGTCATGGATGGCGGCATCTTCCTGACACCCCGTGGGAAGTACATCAGCGACCTGTTGAAGATGTTGGGTTTGGAAGAGTGCAATCCGGCTCCAACACCATACCTGTGCTCGGAGGTCAAGGAGGGCAACAAGTTGAGTGGGGAGAGCTTGAAAATCTACAGGGCAGGAGTTGGCATTGCTCTGTACCTCTCCTACGACAGGACAGATGTGCAGTTCGCAGTTCGCGAGCTGACCAAGGACATGAAGGAGCCTACAGATGGAAGCCTTCACAAGCTGCATCGTTTGGCACGCTACCTGCAGGGCACAAAGGACTATGGCGTGTGGTTGCCCAAGGATGGTGAAGTCGAGATTCTGAAGGTGCATTCAGACACAGACTGGGCAAACTGCAAGAAGACCCGGAAGAGCTGTGCCTGTGCGATGTTTGAGGTTGGCGGCTGTTTGCTGTTCAGCTACGCCAGGAGCCTCCAGATGCTTTGCCTGTCGTCTGGCGAAGCTGAGTTCAATGGTGGCGTGGCTGCCTGCAGTGAGGGATTGTTCATGAAAGAGGTGTTCGCCTTCATCGGCTTCCCGCTCCAGATGGAGGTCTACCTTGACAGCAGCGCAGCCCGTGGCGTGTTCCAGCGCCAGGGAGTTGGGAGGATCCGACACCTCGAAGTGAAGTCATTGTGGGTGCAAGATGCTTTGCATCGAAAGCTGTTCAGCCTGCATGCTGTGCCAAGCCAAGACAACACAGCAGACTTCGGCACCAAGGCTTTGGCAGTGAAGAGGTTCAATGAGCTGAGGTTGAAGCTGGGCATCGGGCTGAAGGAGGAGACAGCCTATGAGCAGGAGAGCAAGAAGCATGTTGAGAGCATCAATGCCATTGCCCTCAGCGGGTTCAGCAAGCAGGCCCTGGTCATGGCCATGCTGACTCTCTTGCAGAGCGCTGAGGGAGTGAGGACTGAAGAGCCCAATACAGAAGCATCAAAGTGGGGATTTGATTGGATCTTCACGGACCTTGCAGTGGCCTTTGGCATTTTGCTGGTCATGCAGGGCACGGCCTTGTGGTGGTGCTTTCGCATGGTGGGAAGGCACCTTGCCTTGAGTGGGGGCTTGAGCTTCAAGCCGGCGCGGCCCGAGAGTAAAGATGTGGCCATCCAGTGCGAGAGGAACACTGGACGCTTTTCGGAAGTTTACATCCTTGAAGGCAGGGATGTGTTTCATTTGGACTCAACATGTCCACGGCTGCAGCAACGCAGTCGACCTTACTTGCAGCTACGAAGCTGTAAGTGCTGTCCTGGACTGGGAATGCCCAGTATCCCGTGGGCAGCAGCAGAAAGCTTGTGAAAAGCCGTTGAAAACACCCGCCTTTTCAAGTGGGGTGCAAGGCTTTATATGCATCATGTACAGCTTGAACTTGTTCACGAACATAGCCCCTTTTAGGCTGGAAAAGGCGCGCTACCCGCTTGCAGGGTCCCTGAAATCCGGGGGTCCAAAATAGGGTCATCTGGAAAGAGTTTCAAAACCAAAAAGTAATCCAGTAAAATCTTATATAAAATCCTTTATTAAACTCGTATCAAAAACCCAAAAATACTCCAGATCGAAGGGTGTTCCTTTTCCCCTACAAAAACCATCATTAGAATAGTGATTCTTCAGTAGACTAACAGCTAAAGCTTTCGAAAGGTGATGTCGCTGTGCCATGCGGTGTTGCATGACCTCGGTGGCAAGTGCGTTTGCGTGAGTCCGTGCCATTGGGGGAAGGAAAGCCTGCTGGTGTAAGCGCGGCGTGTCACGGTGGATAGACAGGGCGGACAGAGGTGGGCAGTTACGGTTGCTTTTGGAACCTAATTTAAAAGCACATTCAAAATCGGCCATGTTGGTAGTTTAGTAGCGGCTTGAAAGGGCGGCATGTTATAAACAAATATAAATCGTCTTTAGGGGGGTCCGGCGTGACTGTTTTTTAATAGGGGTCCGTTTTTAATTGGGTACTCGGGGTTATTTATTTGTGCTGGGCGTTTGATTTTTTCAGCAGCCTCCTGCCGCTGCCCCCCGTTGTGTTCTCAGGAAGTTCACCAAATCATTGGGCAAATCAAGCCAACTTGGTGCCTGTATTTGTTGGGGGGATGTGCACCAGCCAGAAACTGCGGGCTGAACATTTGTTGCTACTGTATGTTAATGTTGTTTCCCCGCCTGTTAGGTGAGGGTTGATGCACTTTAGAAGAGGAACCCGCAGCTCATTATCCTGCTCCTCCTCCTCCTCCCAGATCGCAGTGGGCACTCCCGGACCTCATTAGTAAGCGTCAGATCGCAGTGGGCACTACCGGACTTCAACAGCAAGCGTCAGATCGCAGTGGGCACTCCCGGACTTCAACAGCAATGCGCCAGATCGCAGTGGGCACTACCGGACCTCAACAGCAATGCACCAGATCACAGTGGGCACTCTCGGACCTCAACAGCAAGCACGCAACACACAACCCACAAACACAACACAGCTACCAATATATATATATATATAATATATGTATGCGTACCTCTGGGTATCCCACTGTGCGTGGCACGTGGCCACAGGGTCGCACTTTTGGACTTAACTGTAGACCCTGGCGACACCCAGACGCGAACTCCCCAACACGAAGGCAACAGCCCCAAGCCTGAGGACACAAACAAAATCGAGAAGCACAAAGCCGCCAACCATGGCAACGTGCTCCCCATCATGGCGTGAAAACAAATGATTGATATATGTCATGGTGGGGATCACTCGGAGTAACGTATTTTTTTTTCTGAGGCACTCCTTCTATGGAACGTATATATACCTACACTGGGTGATTTCAGGGGGTCAGTATCAGCACATAATCATCCCATTTCGAGTGTTGGGGGTTCTACCCTATATATTCAGTATATGTCTACCAGTCTACCCACGAATGGGCCGCAATGGATCATCCGTTGGAGTCAGAAAAGTCTGTGTTTTTCCTCGCTTTCGTCGCGAGGTTTCCTTCCGACGAGGAGGTCGCGACTTGGAATCCATGGGCAAAACCGGGAAGGACGAGGAGGTCGACGGCGAGTCAGCCGGGAAAGCAGAAGTCAAATCGCGTACCGGCTGGGTGAGACGATCGACAGAGCAAAAGAACTTCTGCTATTCTGTGTCTCAACCAGGCAACTGCTATTAAAATACTGCCTGTGGGATGATTCAAAGCAAAACCAGTCCGTGGGACATGATGCTGGTGGGAGTACACATTTGCCCACCGAAATGTCGCGGCAAACTATTGATGCTTTGAGATGTCGTCGCATTGTTGTGATGGATATTTATATAAATTTATGATAATTTATGCATTATTGTGCATATATACTGTATATGCACCCGCCGATCTACGTTTTTCCTGCCACTCAGTTTTCCTACATTTTCCTGTTTGTTATTGTGTCCTTGATTTTACTCTCTTCATCCACAATACCTCATGTGCCGTGAGGTTGCCTTATGCCTTCACGCTTTCATGAGGTAACAAAATACATGAGATTCATTTAGCTCTGCTAGCTGTCTCGACCTGAAGTTTGGACACGGATTTACAGAGGCTGATGCATTCATGTCGCTAATTGCAGATGGCAAATATCGTTATTTTCGACATGTGGATGTCCCAAAGGTGGAAGATAAATGCAAAATCCAATGATACAAAAAACATCAAAAAAAACAACTGTTGGACAAATGAACAGTTGCGAAGCCATGAATCTCATTCTCCGTTTATACGGTCGTGGAGCAAGAGGTGTCCTTTTTTTCAGCCTTTTCGTTGGAAATCAAACATTAGGAACTAAAAAGCACAGTTCAAAAACGAAACTAATGAAGAACGAAAAACAGACATTATTGCAGGGCATGTTTCTCTTAAATCAATCATACCAGAGCAATCAATAGTGTACACACGTTTTTGAGGTGGTAATACAATGTAATACGTTTAAAAGTTGAACAGCGTAGACATTTTTCCAGGGGTTTGGTTTGTAAAGACAAAGAGGGTCGACATTAGTGTAGCGGGTTATATTATTCAAAACGTCTAGTGTATTAGGCTACCCCCTTTGTGGAATAGATGCTTGCAATAAGATTTTTTTGCCCGCGCACATGCTAGATTGCCGGCCCCAGAGCGAGCACGAGATCTGCATGTACAGGCTTGGGTGAAGAAGCAATCACACCGGGATGTCTGGGGCCAAAAAGTGATGAGGAAATACGGCAGCAGTGGCATGACACGGCAGAAGTTGGAGTATCTCAGGGCAATTTGATGGACGCATGTCTTTTTAATTCACCTCAATGGTGGGTGTCAAGTGGATGACGAGACAGACTCAATAATTTGCTGTGTTCTTGGCCACCGCTGCCCAAACCGGGCCTAGAGTGTCGTGTTGAACGGAATGGAAGATTTGCAACTAGAGAGATTAGAGAGGACTTGGCAGGGTCAATTGCATTGGTGATGCAGTTCACAGGATGCGGGCTTGATATGGTTGACAGGAAAGACTGGAGAATGCAATGTATGATACAGTAAGTATAAGCTGCCCCTCTTGAGCATGTTGCCCGACTTCAGGCGCATTGTCCAGACTTGCTACGGCCATTCTGTTGAGAACATGTTCGTTTCTGGCTGTCATCCTGTTCAACGGCCATGTGCTCGTAGATGAAGTGTCCATGACGGCAGCGGAAGCAGTGGATTTGATGGTAAGTCTGCAGATGAACGCCGTTGCGCATGACATTGAGGGTGGAAAATGGACACCTCGCTGACACCTCCAACACCTATTCGAGCGTACGATTTGTTGCATTGTCCTTCGCTCTTGCACACCGATGCACTTGGTGGTTCTGATGTTGTTCAAGTCTACATAATTTTCTCTGGAAGCGGTATGTCCAAATTATTTGTCTTTGGCACTTTGGTGAACACCGTGTGCTTTTGGACATCGGAACTCCCACTACTCAATTCCGTGCGCTTGCGCTTGGCTCGCTCCTACTGTCGCGGTGGTCACCGGTCGCATGCTTCAAAGGTGCGTCCAAACGGTCCTGGTTTTGTCCATGGACGTCCGGACTTGCAGGGCAATGCCAATGTCAAGTGTCCTAGGGGGCCGTGCGGCCCTCAGCGCGTTTTTCTTGGAATCGTTGAGGACCGTGAAGGACCGGAGTTGGAAAGCCCGTTGGAAAGCCCTATAGCCTATCGGTTTGAAACTATAGGATGCGTTCAGGTCAGGAGCGTAAGGGGGCTTGCTACTCAGAAAGTGTTTGGCCCTGAAAGCTTGTAAGACACTTTGCTTGTGAGACTCCTTATGTCGCGCAGGAAAGGTTGATGTTTGCACTGGGTGTGTCACTTTGACAGAACACTTGGCTGGCATGGTGCTACGCCACATTGGATGTATTCTTCCATGCAGTAGACTGCTACAGGAGGGTGTGTCCAATTTAAACATATATACTAATTATCTATGGAAGTGGTCTTTGTATATTGCAACACCGTCAGAGTCGAGAAAAAGAGATTGAATCAAGTCCTGTCATCGGATAGGTCGGTATTTCTGCTGTAACACGTTGTTCATCATTTGCTTGCTGTCCGTCACAACTTTGAGGAAGGAATTGCGGTAATTTTGCCGGATAGCAAATCCCATCAATAGTTAATCCGATCCGCAACAGTGTTGTTGGTGAGTCCCATTTAGCAATTTACTGTGGACACGTGTTCTGGGATAGTTGATTATGATAAAATCGCAAAGATTGTGGCACAAAATCGTGTGCATGTTTTCATACCTTTTATGTCTTGCAGATCAAAATCCATAAAGCCCTCACTATACCCTGTGCGGTCTCATTGTGGCACGCCGCCTCCGAGTAAACGGCTGGAAAATAATCTGAAACATTCCAACCCAAAAGGCATGTTGAACGCAACGTTACATGTACTTCTTCAGAACCTTAGGTAACTTTTCCTGCTGCAGAACTCATTGATGCCAAGTATTCTCTCGGTCCCAAACCGGTCCAAATGTCTCGGTGTTTTCCAAAGGTCTCGACGTCCCCAGGTCTTTAGCTGGTCGGGCTTGCTGGTCACCCGCCGTGATCTGCAGTGCTTGGAGGATGGGCAGATGCTGAACGATGCAGTGCTCCGCCTCATCGAGGGTGGTGGAAGGTGATGGTGGGGCGGACCGTCACCGGTCCGTTGATGTTCTTTTTGTGAAAAAAAGAGACCAGGTTGCAGCAGAGCAAGGAAGAATCGCAGGTGGTTGTTGCTTTGGATGTTTCTTTTTTCAAGTTAAACAGGGATGTCCAAAGTGCATGATATTTATCATTCAATCACTGGACGTGTAAGCGATGCTGAGTTGCAGATGATGAAGGCGGAGCGAAGGAATCCAATGATATACTAGCAGCTAGCAAGTGCTAGTGGATGGCATGGCTGGCAAAAGGGCCGTTTTCTTCTACACACAGGCTGATCCCTGTGTGTTCCACTAAACCGCGCAAACGTGAGACTAAACCGTGTATATGGATGTTTGGTTTGTCTCAGCAGCTCAAACCTCCCTTGCTCTGAGGCGGGCAGGAACGGCCAGGTTGGTTTTGAACATTTATACATGCAAGGAAGCAACCAAGATGAAACTAAGACCAACAGAAGAGGATGTGGTGGCTGGGATCTTTCTTGAGCTGCCAGCCTGATGTTTGCCAGCTCATCAGGTTGTGGACTTCTTCCTGCAGTTGATGCAAACCCACTTGGTGCCCTCTAGTACCGAAGCTCAAGAAGGTGGACTATTGGTATTTGTTGGCCGGGTTTTAGGTTGAAGGACATACTTCCCATAGATTTGCAATGTTGTTTACTTGGCTTCCAATCCAGACTTTTGGTGGTGCTGCGATGTATGTCTTGAATTCTAAACGTACGCCTCTTATATTTCCTTGCTCTTAGCCTTTGAGTCCGAGCTGATTGGGATTTGACTTTGAAAGATGAGCGGGGCTAGGTATCCTGAGCCGCTATGCTTTTATGAAGGCCAAGTTGTCAAAGCAGATGCAGTGTGCAGTAATCCCTAGAACCTACAAAAAGACACTGCTCAATTAGAAGAGAACTCCATGTCGGAAACCCCTAAATGCGCCTACAGCTTACTCTTGATATTTACTATATTTACTTATGAACTACTGCCCTTATTTCTGAATACTAGAATGCCCTGAAAGCACTTTTGGTGTAGTTGATTCTTGTTGATACTTCGTCCTAGGCTACTGTGAGGGTCTCGACCCTCCATTTCAGTTTGGACATCGTGACGACATGTCGTTTTTACGTCGTGAGGTGGGAGTCGTGTTCTTTTCACGACGTTGGAAAGGATCATACGATGACAACAGCTGTACATGACACCACGTGAGCTGTGCTCCAAAAGGAAAGTCCGTCCTTTTGTTTCCATCATGAATCGATCTTCTATCTAGCTTGGCTGCCAGATAGAAACGCTGCTTTTCTTTTTCCAAATGGATTTCAATCAACCAAGACAATTCGTACTTCGCCTTGGAATTCGCCGCCGAGGTGCAACGATGCTTTTCTCCAGTCATTTCTATACGCGTCTCACGGCCGCCGGCGCGGTGAATGGGGAGATGGGCTGGGAGGCTTGGTGGCACGTGAGCGAGCGCGTAGCGAGCGGATGCCCAGCGAAGTGTTCCTATCGCATCAATCTCTTGTAATGTTGGATTTTGATCAATCTCTTTTCTTTGCAGGATGATTGTATGTTGGATGTTGAATCTCTTCAAGGGATATCAAAACAGATCTATCCAGGTCCAACGTAGTGTGACAATCCTGATAGATCTGCCTTCCAATCCGTAGTGTGCCGAACATTGCCGAACACTTGCAGCGCATTGGCTCAAGGGATTGAGTACTGAAGCTAAACTCTTTCACCTTGTGGCTCGCTAACCGATGCCCGGCTCGCGGTTGTTCCATGCCTTGAGCTTGGAATTGCCACGAGAGGAGCGGTATTTTGCACTCTGTCGAGCCATTCACCTAGGAATATTTGGAGATCCTGGGTGGTTTTGCGGTCGTCATTATAGTTGCCGGGATGGTTGGAACTTCACACAGAAATAGTATAGCTTCTTTTGCACAACAAAGCTGGGACTGTATCTCTGCAGACTTCAGCACTTCAACGAAGAAGATTCACTTTCAAGATTGGTTACAGCGTCAAGAACGGAGGATCAAGACATCCTGAAATGTCAGGAATGTGTGTTTCTTACATGCTTTGCTGCAAGCCACCATATGGACCACCAGTACGTTTCTGTCCACTTCCCCACAAATTGTATCAACTGCCCGACGCACGGGTCTTCCGAACATTTTGCCAGGAGCTTCTCGAGCGCTTTGGTCACCTTTTGGTCGGCCTACATGTTCTTCCGCAGGCTCCGCAGCCTGCAGCGCTGCACCCAGGGGTGCAGCCCACAGCGCAGCCAACGGCGTCCACGGTTGGGCAGCAAGGTGGTGGAGCTGCAAGGGCAGATTCAAGGACTTCAGATGAAGCATGTTCGGCAACATGTGCGGAGGAGCTTGACTCCTAAGAAAGCATTGCGGATGTGAGGAAAGAACAAAATTAACACGATGCGTTGGTTGATCACGTGGCGCAGGAGAAAACACAAAATATCAAAAATAACTGTGTAACTGTTATATAGTAATACCGTAATACCACGTTCAATATGAAGTGGTTTCTTTAAGATGGAAGATAGTGAGTTTGCACAAGTTTTGACCACGACCATTTGCCACGTGTGCCCACTTGTAAATACGCAGTCTTCAACTCATGTTAGTGCAGTTTGAAAGAGGCGGTTGGTGCGATATATGCGCACATCCCTAAGCCTCATGACTCGGGCGGAGGCAGCATGTTGAGATTGTCAACGAACCCTGGAACCCTTCGAACCATCTCCCCCCGACATGTCAATGTGTTTCTGTGACTCCGTCAAGAGAACTGGTCTCCAGACTGATGTTTGAAGCTCAAGTAGCACGTTCCCCTCTCTTTGACATGGCTTTAATGATTTTCAATGGCGTTGAAAGGAAAAGGAGCCGTCAGCGCAATGCGGGAGTAGGAGCCGTGGGTCACTGCATGTCATTGCGCTAGATTTGTCCATTGGATCTTCATGTAAAAACCCTGTGTTGGTTGGTTACACTCCTCAATGAAACTACAAGGATCGTTCTGACCCTGACCACGTTTAGTTCTCTCCGGGAGCGCTCCATGGTGCACATGGCACATTGCTGGGCCTGGTAACATCAGTGATGGAGCCGAGAAAGTGGAGTTCCAGGTCCAATGTAGGATCCGCCTTACTTGTGCCACTCCTGTACTTGCCCAACACTTGCAGCATATTGGCTCAAGGGATCAAGCAGTGAACCGTAGGCTGAACTCTTTCTCCGGTGGCTCGCGGTCCTAACCGATGCCCGGCTCGCGGTTGTTCCATGCCTTGAGCTTGGAATTGCCACGAGAGGAGCGGTTTTTTGCACTTGGTCGAGCCATTCACCTAGGAATATTTAGAGATCC